GTGTTTACCCTGTCTAGCCCTGTTAGAATGTTATAGGTTACTGTGAGATTTCCCCTCATGCTTCTCCATGCCAGTGAGGAGAATCCTAACCAATCCAGTCTCTCTTCATAGTTCAGTCTTGCCTTGCCAGAAGCGATTTTATCCCCTCAGAGGACTAGATAGAGTGGAGACCAGGAAGAAGTTTCTTCTTCTGAGGTAATCTAGAACTAGGAGCCATCAGAGTCTAAGAGTATTGGGGTAAAGACGAAAGTAGAGGGCACAATCAGATTGGCTATCAAATAGTGGGAGGGGCTGAATGGTGTACCACTGATCCCAATTTGTACTTTTGTTAAATCAGTGTAGTTTGACAGCTGCCAATAGCAGCTCCCCTTGAACACAATACCTGGGTTGACACTCCAATGCAGGAGTCAGGGCATGCTGCATTGTTAGAAAGGTCACCTTTCGAATGAGGTGTGAAGCGAAGACCTTGTTTGCCATCTCAAGCTGGTTCTTACGATCCATTCTGCCAAGTCTACTCAGGATCTTATCTGTTACAATAAGATCACCTCTCATTCTTCTCAAGTCCCAACCTGCCCTTGTAGCATAACCCCCAAGATCATTTCTGCGAAGGATGGGGTGTTCATATTCTGACCAATAGTTATCCCCGATTGCATTGGTAAATGTGTTAATGATCCCAGCCTTTATCCTAAAACTATGACCTCTGAGCCCCACTTTGGGCGCAGTGGTAGTTTTGGGGATTTTAAATAAAACCATGAGAGGGTCTAGGCCCAAAACGTCAGCCTTCCTGCTCCTCTGATGCTGCTTGGCCTGCTGTGTTCATCCAGCTCTACACCTTGTTATCTTGGATTCCCCAGTATCTGCAGTTCCTACTATCTCTGATTCAGACTCTTCTCATTTTAGGAACTGGTTCTGAGTTGACGGGTCACAGTCCACGTACAGTGCACACATAAATAAAGGGTGACTTGGTGACAGGAATAAAGGCCTTTGTGCAGTTATTTCAGTGGCGAAGAGAGCAGGACAGTATGCTCCTAAATAAAATTCACTGCAACAATAAGAAACTATGACCTCTCATTCTAGATTGCCCCACATGAGGACACATCCTCTCCGTGTCTATTCTGTCAATCTTCTTTAGCGTCTTACATACCTGTTTTGGCGGGGGATCTCCTCTCATTCTTCTCAACTGTAGCGAGTATAGGCCTAAACTGATCAATCTCTCCTCAAAATCAAACTTTACGTCACTGGAATTAATCGAGCGAACCTCTCTGAGGTGCCTCCAATCCAATCGCCCTGCCCATTAGCTTGGAGTAAGCTTGTGACCTTATTTGCTTGGTCAATTTGAGATGCCTGCTCCCTGAAAACAGTGGGCCAAGGCCCATTATGGAGATGAGAACCAGAAACACTGAGCAGTGTCAAAAGTACGTCTTGCAAGAATGGCGTTGTGCAATCGAGGTTTATACGGAAAAGCTGCGTTGTTTGGAGGTGACTAACCTTTCCGCATTGTGTGTATTGTGTCGTGCTGAGTGATGGGAAAGATTGCCCAAGCCTTTGTTTCTTGTATTGCAAGAAGATGGAAGGAAATCACTCACATCAAACAGAACAGGCCCTGCGCAATTTGTACAAAACAGCCAACTAATTGGAACATTCTTAGGAGTCAGAATCGATTTGGATCACCCATTAATAATTCACAACTGCTGAGCCTGGCTCTCAGAGCATTGGGATAAACATTGTTTTGCTCTGTTGCTTCTGATCAATGTACATTCCAAAATGTGTTGACTGAGTCAAGTGATTTGAGTGCATAGCTAGGCTGACTCAGTGTCAGTACTGAACTGTCAAAGGTGCCATTGTGCAGATAAAGTGTTAAGCCAAGGTTTCTCAAGTAGCTGCCATGTTATTTGAAAGAGCTGGGGCTTTCTTCTGGCTGCCTTGCCCCATAGAATCACCACAGCCCAGCCAGACACCACCCCCCCATAAACCTATATTTCCCCATGGCTAACCCACACATCCCTGGACACTAAGGGGCAATTTAGCACAGCCAAACCACCCTAACCTGCACATCTTTGGACTGTGGGAGGAAACCAGAGCAAACCCACACATTCACAGGGAGAATATGCAAACTCCACACAGACAGTTGCCTGAGAGTGGAATTGAACCCAGGTCCCTGGTGCCATGAGGCAGCAGTGCTAACCACTGAGCCACCGTGCCACTCCAACGTTGGGAAAAACGGTAAATCTGGTCATTATCACTTTGCTTTCTCTTTTTTATATCGTTTATTCTTTCACAGGATTTGGGCCTCGTGGTCAAGGCTGGCATCTGCTGCGCATCCCTAATTTCCCTTGAATGGTGTGACTCACTAGGGCCATTACTGAGGGCAGTTATGAGTCAGCCACCCTGCTGTAGGTCTGGAGTCACGTGTAGGTCAGGCTGAATAAGATGTCCTTCCGTAAAGGGTGTTGGTGAACCAGTTGAGTTTTTAATTAAAAACATTTTTTTGATTTGCCTATTTTTCCTAAACAACTTGTTCAGAAATGTTATTACACACCTCTGGAGCAGGGGGGCTTGAAGCTAGGTCTCCTGGTCTTGGGATAGAGACGCTGCCACTCTACCACAAAAGGACCCCATACAGCAATTGATTTTTTTTTAAAAAATTGACTTATTTTTCTAACCAACCTGTTCAGAGATATTATTACACACCTCTGGAGTAGAAGGGTCTTGAACCTGAGGCACCTGGATCGATACATGAATAGGGAGGAAATTAAGGAATATGGATCGAAAAATGGCAGGTTTGTTTTTAGATTAATTAGGGCATGATGGTTGGGACAGGCTTGGAGGGCTGAAGGGCCTGTTCCTGTGCTGTACATTTTTATTTGTTCATTTGTTCACTGTGCTACAATAGCCCCTACAGATGAATTTTTATGCTGTTATTGAGAATAGCCTTTAATTCCAGACACTTTTAAAATTGAATTAATATTCCACCAGCTATCACTGTGGTGATTTGAACCCTGGTCCCCAGAGCATTGTCCTGGGTCTTTGGATTATGACTCCATTACCTCTTCACCATCATTACCCCCACAATGATCTTGTTTGGAGCTTGAGCAAGCGAATTGCTTTTTCTAATTTACTTCATTTCTGGGATGTGACCACGACGAGCTAGGATCGCATTTATTGTCAATCTCAGGAGAAGGTGGGGATGAGCTGACCTCTTGAACTGCTGCAGTTCGCGTGCTCTATAAATACCCACAATACCCTTAGGGAGGGAGTTCTGGGATTTTGACCAGCGACACTGAAGGAACGGCAATATATTTCCAAGTCCTTCCCCTGGCGACACACAGCTCACCAACACGCTCCCCCACTGTTGCTAAGCTACCAGACTGTTTACCTGACATCCAGCACTGGATGAGCAGATATTCTTCCTAATTAAATAATGACAAGACAAAAGCCATTGATTTTTCCTCCTGCCCAAGCTCTGCCCCCTGGTACCCACTACATCTCTGTTCCTGGCAACAGTTCTGAGGCGAAGCCAGTCCATTCGCAACTTCGATGCCAAATTATTGTTAGTCATTTATATAAATGATTTGGATGAGAATATAGGAGACATGGTTAGTAAGTTTGCAGTGTGACACCAAAATTGATGGCGCAGTGGACAGTGAAGAAGTTTATCTAAGTTTACAAAGAGATCTTGATCAATTGGATCAATGGGCTGAGGAGTGGCAGATGAAGTTTAATTTAAATAAATGTGAGGTGTTGCATTTCAGTAAGGCAAACCAGGGCAGGACCTATACAGCTAATAGTTGGGCCCTGGGGAGTGTTGCTGAACAAAGAGACCGAGGAGTGCAGATGTATAGCTCCTTGAAAATGGAGTTGCAGGGGGTGAAGAAGGCATTTGGCATGGGATTTTGTTTAGCTGGGCCAGCAGACAAAGGAATGGTTTGGAATACTGCATACAGTTCTGGTCGCCCTGCTATATGTTATTAAATTGGAAAGGGTGCAGAAAAGATTTACCAGGATGTTACCAGGACTGGAGGATTTGAGTTATAAGGAGACGCCGGATAGCCTGGGACATTTTACACTGGAGCATCAAAGGCTGAGGGGTGACCTTGTAGAGGTTTATAAAATCATGAGGGGCATGGATACAGTGAGTAGCCAAAGTCTTTTCCCCCAGTGTAGGGGAGTCCAAAACTAGTGGGCACAGATTTAAGGTGAGAGGATAAAGAGTTAAAAAGGACACGAGCGGCATTTTTCTTACACAGAGGGTGGTCGGTGTGTGGAATGAACTCCCAGAGGAAGTGGTGGATGCGGATACAGTTACAACGTTTAAAAGACATTTGGATAAGTTCATGATTAGGAAAGGTTTGGAGGGATATGGGCTAAACATAGGCAGGTCAGACTAGTTCAAGTTTGGAAAACTTGGACGGCATGGACGAGTTGGGCCGAAAGGTCTGCTTCTGTGCTGTATTACTCTTTGACTAGGGTGGGAGCGGGGAGAGCTGTCAAAATGGAGGCATAAGGCACCATCCCTGCTCAGATTGAGGGTGAGCCTGTGATCACACCAACCGCGCCCGCCCCCCCCCAAAAAAAATCTCCCTTGATAGGGCTTTGTTGTCCGCGAATGGGTTCTAAGGGTCTGCAGGAGTTACAGAAGGTGCTATACAGATGCAACTGGGAAACAGAAACCTTTCAAAAGGGGAGCATCGCTTTCCAAACGAAAGCTGAGGAACCAAAGTGAGGGTCAAAGTCATTGGCACAGACAAGCATCATGGTTGCGAATAATAAAATAAGGAGAAAAGTACCAAGATAATTTGGGAAGTTGTGAGTCCAGTATTGGGTATGAAAGTCTGTAACCAGTATAGCAGAAAGGAAAGATGCTTCAGAGGCCGAAAGGTATATGTGGTGTTCTTTAATTCTATTTTCTCCAGGATTGACCTGGAGCCTTGGAATTGAAGGCTAATTTCTAAGATCCAACTGTGTGCAACCCTGGAGAAAAATCACAGGGACACTAAAAGTAATTGTAGTATTGGTCATTATTTTTATATGCATTTCTTTTCACTAGATGTAAAAATATTTAAATTAGGGGAGAAATGACCATTTGCCGAGTGTCATCCAATGGGGTGATCTTTGCTTTCTGATTGGCTGTCGGAAGGCGGCGTGTCACAATGTCAGAGCTGTTGACTGACCAATGGCTGGAGGGATGGGGTTTGGTGGAAGGATTGTGTGATTAAGTCTCTGGGGGTAGATTTCAGTTGGCAGACACGGGATGTGGAATTTCACTATCTAGGCTGCCATTTATTCCCCAACATTAATTGCTCCTCGAGAATCTGGGGGTAAGTTGCCTCCGTAAAGCCCCATAGCAGTCCACATGATGCTTGTGCACTGTTACGAACTTATAGGGGGGTGGTATTCCGATGTATCTGCTGCCCCTTGTCCTTCTATGCATAAGTGGTCGTGGGTTTGGAAGGTGCTGTCTGAGGATCTTTAGTGAATTTCTGCGGTGCAACTTATGGATGGTACACACTGCTGTTACTGAGCGTCGGTGGTGGAGGGCGTGGGATGTTTGTGGATGTGGTGCCAATCAAGCGGGGGCTGCTTTGTCCTGGATGGTGTTGAGCGTCTTGAGTGTTGTTGGAGCTGCCCCCATCCAGGGCAAGTGGGGAGTATTCCATCACACTCTTGACTTGTGCCTTGTAGATGGTGGGACAGGCTTTGATATCAAGCTCCTCAGGCTCACTGCAGCTTTCCCATCAGTTGCCCCCATAAGGTGTTAATCTTTTATAGCAAACCAACACGGACGTCCCTTTGAAGTTTAGCACTGCCCTTCGCAGATGCTTCCAAACACCAATTAAGGTCTTCCATCTGCAAATAATTAAAGACAATTAAAATTCTGCACCAGTCAGATGTTCACCTGGGGTGGATTTGTTTGAGAATTTTATTTCTGTCATTGCCCAGTGCCGGCAGCAGAGAATGGAGCTCTCCATGACCTGACTTATTATGTGTGATGCTATAGGCCTTTGGATCCTGTGGGAAATACCCGAGGAGGATTCAGTGGATGATAATCTGCGAAAACAATGGGGTTCTTTTTGAACCCAGAAATAAAAGTCATAGTCTACAATACTATTCAGTCAGGCACAAAATTCAGGAGTGATTTCACAGAGATGTATCAGACAATAATTGAGTTTTATCAGGGTAAACATTCCTAGCGACTGTTTTATGTGTGACAGCCTTAACCCCAGGGTGGTGTCCATTAGAAAGCATTGTTTCCCAAGTCAGGATTTATTCTTTCCCGGGATGTTGGTGGGGGGGGCGGTCACTGGCAAGTGCAGTATTTGTTGCCAGTCCTTAATTGCCCTTGAACTGAGGTATTTAAGAATAAACCACATTGCTCTGGATAACAAGGTGTAGAGCCGGATGTACACAGCAGGCCAAGCAGCATCAGAGGAGCAGGAAGGCTTGTTCAGAAGAAGAAGGCACTAGGCCCGAAACGTCAGCCTTTCTGCTCCTCTGATGCTGCTTGGCCTGCTGTGTTCATCCAGCTCCACACCTTGTTATCTCACATTGCTATGGATATTGCAGGCCAGATTTTTCTTCCCTGAACAGTATTAGTGAACCAGATTTGGTCTGAATGACAGTGATAATAGCTGTTATCATCACTAACTTTGTGAATTGAATTCCATTCGCTGCTGCATTGATTTGGTTTGATTTATTGTCGTCACATGCACTAAGAGGCAGTGAAATGTGTTGTCTTATGTGCTTTACAGGCAGATCTAATCATACAACGTGCACCAGGGTAACAGAACAGAGTGCAGGACATAGTGTTATAGCCGCAGAGAAGGTACAGACAGAGATCAACATGAACATTAAAGGGGTCCATTCATAAGTCTGATAACAGCAGGAAAGAAGCTATGCTTGAATCTGTTCGTACATGTGCACATATTTTCTGCCCAATAGAAAAACCAGGGATTGGAGGGCTCTTTGATGATATTGGTTGCTTTGCTGAGGCAGGGGGAAGTGCAGATGGAGTCAATGGATAGAAGGCTGGTTTGTGTGATGGACTGGGCTGTGTTCACAACTCTCTGTAGTTTCTTTTGGACTTGGTAATAGCCACGCTGTGATGCATCCATACGGCTACTTTCTATGGTGCATCTATAAAAATTGGGAAGAATCTTTATGGACATGTTGAATTTCCTTAGCTTCCTGAGGAAGTCAAGGCGTTGCTGTGCTCTCTTGACCGTCACGTCGACGTGGGTGGGCCAGGACAGATCATTGGCGATCGTCACTCCCAGGAACTTGATGCTCTCAACCATCTCCACCTCAGCACCATTGATACAGACAGGGGCATGACTCGAACCCTGTATTCCCCAGGGAATGAGCAGAAGCCTCTGGATTACTGGTCCCAGTGTCATCACTGTTAGGACAAGATCTCCCACAGTGCATTGTTTCGTAGGCTGGGTATGCTAACAATCGCCAGACTGAGATTGGGAGGTATTGTACTGTGAAGGAGATATCAGCGAAATTTTGCATCAATCCATCTGTTGTGATTGCTTTAAATAAGAATGGGAAATTCTAAAATTGTGCAGCAGATTAATCAGCATCTGAAAACACTTCTGATGAAATGTTATTTCTGAGACATGACTTTGTCGACCAGATGGTGGGCAGTTCCAACATTCCAATAGTCTGGGATAATGTCTCTGTTCAGCAGAGAGAGTTCGACAATGGTGCTGATCATTTTCAGCACCGGGAAGGGGAAGGCTGTGCTTTCATGTGAATGTTTTTGCCACGTGTTCGAGTTGCCATCCTTGCTGTAAAAGTTGTACATTTTGGCTGGAGCTCAGGGGGGTAGTGACCTCACCTCTGGGTCAGAAGGTGCCAGACTTACTCCATTGATCTGGGCACACAGGGTCGGCTGATACACCCAAAGCCATGCTGAGGTATCCGTAGTGTTGTCTTCCATAGTTTACACTGTGGTTACGTGTGCTCTCTCATTCCAGTGCAGTGGCTCAGTGGTTAGCACTGCTGCCTCACAGTACCTGGGACCCAGGTTTGATTCCACCCTCGGGCAACTGTCTGTGTGGAGTTTGCATATTCTCCCCGTGTCTGTGTGGGTTTCCTCCGGGTGCTCTGGTTTCCTCCCACAGTCCAAAGATGAGCACGTTAGATTGGCCATGCTAAATTACCCCATAGTGTCCAGGGATGTGCAAGTTGGGTGGATTAGCCAGGGTTACAACAGTAAGGTAGGGGTGTGGGTCTGGATAAGGAAGATTAGTGGGGACTCGATGGATTGAATAGCTTGCTCCCATGCTGTAGGGATACTATGAAGTGAGCTGTGTCCCTCACCAACGTCTCTTCGTCATTTTTATCAGACTTTCCTACATTGCAGCAGTAAATATGTTTCAATAATAATTTACTGTTTGTAAAACATTTTGTGATGTTAACGTCATTGAATTTCTTTTAACATGAAGTTTGAGAAGCAATACAGAGTGAAAAAATATAATTATAGAAGGGGTCAGGAACAGAGGGACCTGGGAGTATATATGCACAGATCTCTGAGGTTAGCATGGCAGGTTGAGAAAGTGATTAATAAGGCCATATGGGATCTTGCACTTTGTAAATTGAAACAATAGAGTGGCTCAGTGGTTAGCCATGCTGCCTCACAGCACCAGGGATCCAGGTTCGATTCCAGCCTCAGGTGACCGTCTGTGTGGAGTTTGCACATTCTCCCCGTATCTGCGTGGGTTTCCTCCGGGTGCTCCGGTTTCCTCCCACAGTCCAAAGATATGCAGGTTAAGTAGATTGGCCGTGCTAAAGTGCCCCATAGTGTGCAGGGATGTTTAGGTTAGGTCGGTTATGCAGGGGTAGGGGAATGGGTCTGGGTGGGATACTGTTCGGAGGGGCAGTGTGGACTTGTTGGGCTGAGTGGCCTGTTCCCACACTGTAGGGAGTCTATGATAGAGATGTTAAATTCACAGAAACATAGAATCTCTACAGTGTAGAAAGAGGTCATTCAGACCATCGAACCAGCACTGACCTACCAAGATGCGACCCACCTAGACCTATGGCTAGTCCACCTAAGCTTGTACATCCCTGGACACTATGGGTAATTTAGCATGGCCAATCCACCCTAGCCTGCACATCTTTGTGGCTGTGGGAGGAAACCAGAGCACCCGGAGGAAACCCACACAGACACGGGGAGAATGTGCAAACTCCACACAGATAGTCGCCTGAGGGTGGCATCGAACCCAGGTCCCTGGTGCTGTGAGGCAGCAGTGCTAACCCCTGAGCTGCCCCTAATTTTGTGCTGTTCGAGTGGGACCGGGAATCAAAAAAGGCCCTGTGTTAAAAGGGAGTTTGGGCAATATTTAACCAACATCACAAGAAGAAATTGTTTGGTCACTGCCATTTGGCTGGCCGTGGAGGTTGCTATGCACAAATTGGCACCGTTTCCTGACACTACAATAGTGAATACACATCAAGAATACTTCTTCTAATGTAAGGCAGTTAAAGAATTGGCCTAACGAACAATAAAAACTGGAATATTTTTCTTTTTGGTTCTGCACTCCTGCCACATATCCAGGTTGACTTCTTGAAGGGACACCTCCCAGTTTCACGTTCACTCTCTGAACACGCTGCCTTTGTTAGGGGACTGTACTTTAGGTGTAAAGGAGTCTCAGGTGGAAGTAGGGCAGTGGAAAATGGCTTCAAAGCAATGTTCCCAATGCATTCTCCTTGCATTTAATAGATGTCCAAAAATGTGCAGGCCTGGTGGATTAGCCATGGTAATGCAGGGTTACGGAGATAAGACGGAGTGAGGGGTGGTTCGTTCTGGGTTGGATGCTCTTTGGAGGGTCAGTGCAGACTTGATGGGCTGAATGGCCTCTTTCCGCACTGGACAGATTCTGTGATTCTGGAGTCGTGCAGCCTGGTACAATTACAACATTTAAAAGGCGTCTGGATGGTACATGAATAGGAAGTCTTTAGATGGATATGGGCCAAATGTGGCAAATTTGACTAGCTTAATTTAGGATATCTGGTTGGCACGGACGAGTTGGACCGAAGGGTCTGTTTCCGTGCTGTACAGCTCTATGACTCTATGTTTTGTATCCCTCTATTGTTATGAGTCAGTTGGTCACCCTGTCATGTTAAAATACAGCTAGTGCTTGAAATTGGAGAGGTCCACTCTGTACCATGGAGCTGACAGTAAAATTGAGGCCTTGGCAAGTTTAAAAGGTACTATGACTGAAATAGCACATCAGAGGCTGGGAATCCTGCAGCAATAAACTCACCTCCTACCTCCCCCCAAAGCCTGTCCCACCACCTACAAGGCACAAGCCAGGAGTGTGATGGAATACTCCCCACTTGCCCTGGATGGGGGCAGCTCCAACAACACTCAAGAAGCTTGACACCATCCAGGACAAAGCAGCCCCCGCTTGATTGACACCACATCCACAAACATTCACTCCCTCCTCCACCGACGCTCAGTCGCAGCGGTGTGTACCATCTACAAAATGCCCTGCAGAAATTCACCAAAGACCCTCCGACAGCACCTTCCAAACCCACGACCACTTCCATCTAGAAGGACAAGGGCAGCAGATACATGGGAATGCCATCCTCTGCATGCTCCCCTCCCAACCACTCACCATCCTGACTTGGAAATATATCACCGTTCCTTCAGTGTCGCTGGGTCAAAATCCTGGAATTCCCTCCCTAAGGGCATTGTGGGTCAACCTACAGCAGGTGGACTGCAGCGGTTCAAGAAGGCAGCTCACCCCCACCTTCTCAAGGGGGCAACTAGGGACGGACAAGAAACACTGACCCAGCCAGCGACGCCCACATCCCACAAAAGAACAAAAATAGATTCT